CCAGTTTGTTTTTGTTTTGAATTTGGAAAAGAATGCTTATTAGAATTGCCTTTGCAGTCGATTTCCCAGTCCATACAGTAAGCGAAATAAACAAGCAAACTCCCGTTGCCTGTGGGTGCTTAAGGTTTGGCTTTGCTTTGGATGAGATATTATGCATTATCATCCATTCCACAACCTTCCTGTTTTAAATCCAAATATTGCTGCGGAATCATTTCTGAAGGTTTTGGGTCCTGGTTGGTTTTTTATTTTTCTGACGTGCGCTTTCCGTCTGTGGTTGATCTCCAGCCACTGGTGTAAAAGGGGGAGAAAAAAATTCAAAGCCACCAGATGAGCAAACTTTGCAGAAATGTAGAATCCTCTGCTGGGCCTTTGGATAATCAGCTGGTGATCCAACTAGGATGCTGTCCATTCTGGAGGAGGATTTTGGACCTGCGGGATTCCTCCCCACCCCTGTTTCCTTTAAATCAGGTGTGTCAAATCTTGGTGACTTTAAGACTTGCGGACTTCCAACTCTCAGAACTCCCAAAACTGGCTGGGGAATTCTGGGAGTTGAAGTCCACAAGTCTCAAAGTCACCAAGATTATTGGCTGGGGAATTCTGGGAGTCGAAATCCACAAAACTTAATGTCACCAAGGTTGCTGGTTGGGGAATTCTGGGAGTTGAAGTCCACAAGTCTTAAAAATCAATAGAATTTCTGGCTGGGGAATTCTGGGAGTTGAAGCCCAAAGAATCAAAAGTCAACAAGATTGCTGGTTGGGGAATTCTGGGAGTTTGAAGTCCGCAACTCCCAAAGTCACCAAGATTGCTGGCTGGGGAATTCTGGGAGTTGAAATCCACAAATCTTAACGTCACCGAGGTTGCTAGCTGGGGAATTCTGGGAGTTGAAGTCCAAAAGTCTCAAAGTCAACAAGATTGCTGGTTGGGGGATTCTGGGAGTTGAAATCCACAAGTCTTAAAACCCAGCAACGTTGGATAACCCTGGTTTAGTGATGGTTAGCTTGCCAACGCACCCGTGAACTGGAAGGAGTCAGGAGGTGCAAAGTGCACAGAGGCCTGGCCTCCGTTGTGTTTTCTGCAGCCTCTGCCTGTGGTGCGTGTGCATACATGGCTGTCCCTAAGGAGCTGCAAGCTCAGTGCAGCAACCCGATACTGCGTCCTGGTTGCCTGAGAAGCCTTCCAACCAAGGTGGAATTTCCTGCAGAGCTTGTTGGGTCAGGATCCTAGTCGCCCAAACGCTCCAGGCTTCAGGTGTTCACAGGGCTGGCAGCCTGAGTGGGCGGAGAGTTACAGGTTGTCCTTTTCCAAATTCGGGGTGTTGCAGGCGCCCCGCCAAGGAGACTTAGAGGAAGGAAGGCGGTGGAAGGTGAATAGTTGGGGTTTTTTTTTAGTTGAAGTTAGGGCTCCGTCTGTCCATCCCCGTGAGGCTGCCAGGCGAGGTGCTAGTCCTCATTGTGCCTTCCTAAAGGCAAGACATTTGCCAAACGTCGTGTGACTTACGGGTGTGTGTGTGTGTGTGTGTTGGGGTGACATTTTTCATGCACCCTGTTGTAATTTCAATCGGCGGTTAAACAAACGGCCGTCAGTTTGAGTAAGATCTATTTTCTTTCTTTTTAAGAATTCCTGACAAGCTCAGGTAGTCATCGAGTTAGTGACCGTTCCAAGTTGCAACGGTCCTGGAAAAAAAAAATCGCAAATCCAAAGCTAATCTTCTCCTTAATGTTCTGCACACAGGAGGGTGGCCCATTCCAGGCACCAAAAGGGGAAATGTGTGTGTGCAAATATAGTTTTGGCTTCCCTTCTGAATTTGCAGAATCATACACAGGTACTTCTCGACTTACAACCACGTTTCTTGCCACGGTTGTTAAGCAAATCACCTGCCATCGTTAAGTTAGTAACACGGTTATTAAGCGGATCTGTAGCGATCTTCGCTTGTCCAAAGTTTGCAAAAGGGGAATCACGTGACCTCCAGGACATGGCAGCGGTCGTAAGTACGAATCCATTGCCAAGCGCCTGAATTTCAGCTCCTACGAAGTGTGAAACACGGTCGTCAGTCATTTCCTTCAGGGCCTTCGTAACTTGGAACGGTCGCTAAATGAGCCATGGGGGTTGAGGACTACCTTGGACAGTATATGCAAATTATACATCATCCTCTCATAGCTCTCAGGAGATTTTTAGCGGACCGAAAAAAACTGGATTGACCAGACTGGGTGGTTAGTCACACTGGATGAGTAAAGGGCTATTCATCGTCTGCGGCAAAGCCAAATAATGTACTCTGCCAGGCTCTCTCTCTCTCTCTCTCTCCTCTTCCTTAAATCCTGGTTCAAATCCACCCGTGAACGCTCCTTGTCGCTTGCCAAATTTGGGGAGGGAAGCGGGGGGCTGGGGAGAGCTATTACACAAGCCACGTGCCTCTTGATTTTTCTTTTTTCTTTTAAAAAGCGCCCTTTTGTAAAATCAAGCAGAGAACAGATAATCAGAGTTGGAACGGGACCTTGTAGGTCACCTAGACCAACCCCTAGCCCAAGTGGGAGACCCTACACCATTTCTGACAGATGGCAGTCCGGTCTCTTTCTTGAAAGTCTCCAGGGATGAAGCTCCCACAACTTCTGAGGGCAACGTCTGTTCCATGGGTTGATGGTTCTCACTGTCAGAAAATTTCTCCTTATTTCTAGGTTGAATCTCTCCTTGATCAGCTTCCGTCCGTTATTCCTTTTCTGGCCTTTGGGGTGTCTTGGAAAATAGCTTGACCCCTTTCTCCTCTCTGTGGTAGCCCCTCAAATATTGGAAGGCTGCTATCCTGTCTCCCCTGGTCCTTCTCTTCCCTAGACTAGCCAGGCCCAGTTCCTGCAACCATTTATCATGTGTTTTAGTCTCTAGTCCCCTAATCATCCTGGTTGCTCTTCTCTGCACTTTCTCTTAAAAAGTAATAATAATAATAATAATAATAATAATAATAATAGACTAGCCAGGCCCAGTTCCTGCAACCGTTCTTCATATGTTTTTAGTCTCCAGTCCCCTAATCATCCTCGTTGCTCTTCTCTGCACATTTTCTAGATCCTCAGCATCTTTTTTTTATAGTGTGGTGACCAAAACTGGACACAGTACTACTCTAGGTGTGGTCTTACTAAGGCTTTTGAGCCATTGCCTCAAAAGTTTAATAGTCTTGGGTTCGGATCAAGCCACAAGGCAGCGTTTGTTCCAGGGACCTATAAAATGAAAGTGGACTTCGGGGTGGAGTTTTGTCCTGTGTTTCTCTGTTCGAGTAACTTTATTTTGCTATTTTGGGGAAGGGGGCAGAAAGATTTCTGCTCTGTGCTTTGAAGAGCAAACTCTTCCCAGGGGTCAGATGATAGATTAACAGAATTGGAAGGGATCTTGTAGGTCATCTAGTCCAACCCTGCACCCAAGCAGGAGACTGTATAGTGCAATATTAATGCAATACCAAGGGTTTTCAATTCAGTGTATAGAATGTGAAGGGTGTGTTTTTGTGTTTTATTTTCATAGTCATAATGTACACTGAAGATGGTATTTAATTTCATTGTGCGAAGTGCAATTACAATGAAGTAAATTAAACTAAACTAAACTACTCTGTTTCTGACAAAGCCACCTGCCAAAATGCCGGGTCGCCAACTTTGGCAGCTTTTTAAGACAGCGACGCTGGCTGGGGAATTCTGGGAGTTGAAAGTCCACACATAATTTGCCAAGGTTGGAGGTTGCTGTATCTAGAATGGGATTCTCCCAGAGTTTCGGAATTCTTCTCAAGTCCCTTTTCATTGCTTCTGCAAGAGAAGACGACGGCTCCTCCCACGGATAAGGGAGCCTTGGTTCTGTGCCCTGTTGTAATCCCTGCAAATGTTTGTGGAAGTGGGAAATACCTAGCTGGAAGGGTAGCGTATACGGTCTTAAAATAAATGGGGTGATAAACAGAGGAGCTGTATTCCTTCTGCAGGGAATCTGATGGCTGCCTTGCCTGTCTTCCTTCCTTCCTTCCTTCCTTCCTTCCTTCCTTCCTTCCTTCCTTCCTAGCATTTAGAGGTTTGCATGAGGTTCACACCAGGTCACCATGGTTTGTTGAGCTGCTAAGCACAGTCAGAACAAACCTTGGTTTACTGTAATGTGTAAGCTGTTGCAATGGCTGCTTTCCCTTATCCTTGTATTGGAGATTAGGTAGGTAGGTAGGTAGGTAGGTAGGTAGGCAGGCAGAAGACAAAGTTAGGGGGAGAAGGGTTAATCGTCCAATAAAGCTCTCTTTTTGGATAGCTTTTGCATCATACTTCAAATTTCCTAGTAGTTATACAGCTTTGCAAATTGTGGTCAATTGCAATCAGCATTCAGGAGTTCTTGGTCCCTTCCTTCCTTCCTCCCTCTCTCCCTCCTTCCCTCCTTTTAATCCTTCCTTCCTCCCACCCCCCCTCTTAATTTTTCCTTTCAACCATCCATCTATCCATCCCTTATAACTAGTTTCCTCTCTCCCCCTTTTCTTGATTTTTACTTTTTAATACAGGTTCAAAATCTCCTTGCGGGAACCTACAAGAGGTCTTCCTTGCCTTCCGGGGTTGGCTTTTGAAATTCTAGCAGCGAAAGGACCTCTAGTGGTTTTGATCATGTCATGTCAGAATTGGAACTTAGACGCAGGAAAGTTGGCTAACGTTCAAGTAGGACAAGCAAGCCTGCAAATTAGAACGGAGCTGCTGGATGCAGAGGTTTCTCTAGCCAACACCGGTTGAGTGGATGCAAACTAACAAAATCAAACGCTATTTCTATAGAAAATAATACTGGAAGGTTTTCTGTCTAAAGCACGTTTCTCTCATGGTGGACTTCAGAATGTGGTTTCCAGATTGGCTGCGTGAAAGGGTTTGGCCGACATGGAATCTGACAAAACTTTTTGCAAGAATTTTATTGGCCTCACATGGGCCTCCATGGGCTTTTAGGCAGCTATTCTGACTTCTTTTTTTTTTTAACGGTAGCTCTTTTCTAACCTCCCCCCTTTTCTCTTGCAGATCCCAAAGGATCCTTGGAAAAGCGAAAAGTTGGTAAGTGAGGTCTATTCAAATAAAAAATAAAAAAATTCCTCCACTGCTGAAAAACACTTGTTTGGCATGTCTACAATATCCTCTCAAATATTGGAAGACTGCTTTCATGCACCCCTGGTCTTTCTTTTCATTAAACTAGACATGCCCAATTCCTGCAACGGTTCTTCATATGTTGTCAGGAATTGGGTATGTCTCTTCCGAATGGAATTAAAAAAAAAGGAATGTAGATGAGTTTTTTCACCTATTATCCTCTCAACAGCCCTGCGAGGTAGGCTGGGCTGTGAGACGGTGAAGCCAATGCAACGACAACGGGTGGAAAGCATTTTGACTTAGATGGGGTCTTTCTAGCCCAGCCCCTCATTTTGCACCAATTCTCATAGTCCTGATTCACCCATGCCTTTGGTTGGGTTTAGCACATGATGTAAACGCAGCTACTTACGTGTGTGTTTTTAAAAAACCACCATTGAACAAACCATAGTTTGGCCCTGTATATGAACAGAAACCTTGTCCTCTCAGGCGGTTTGGCTATTTAAAAATGTCCTTTGCCTTACATAATATTATTACGTTAATATAATGTATTGAGAGCAGCAAGAATGGTATTTGCACAGTACTGGACAAAAATGAGGAAACACCTACAGGAGAAGATGTAATTTTAAAAAATTTAGATTGTGCAGAAATGGACAGATTGACATTAAAGATAAAAGAAAAAGAAGACAGTATTTTCGAACATGGGATGATTAGTTTTACAAATGGTTGGATAATAGAGGTAGAAATTAGGAGGGGGAAAAGTACTATTATATAAGCCAAATGTTGCAGACAATACACTGTTTACTAAGCACTTATGTACATAATGCAGGGGTCCCCAAACTTAGCAACTTTAAGACTTGTGGATTTCAACTCCCAGAATTCTCCAGCCAGCATAACGGCGAAGCCAAATAAGTTGGTAAGTGAGGTCTATTTAGCTGGCCGGAGAATTCTGGGAGTTGAAGTCCACAAATCTTAAAGTCGCCAGGTTTAGAGACCTCTGATGTAATGTATAAATAAACTGCATAGCCGGCTGGAGAATTCTGGGAGTTGAAGTCCACAAGTCTTAAAGTTGTCAAGGTTGGAGACCCCTGACATAATATATGAATAAACTGTTTTTAAAAATGTCCTTTTTCTTCTAGGACCAAAGAAGAAAAGGCCACCCATATTAAGGATGCCGCCGGTTAATAAACAAACAGCTGTTCCTGCAACGTAAGATCTATTTCACCTCTGTTTAAGAATTCCTTGACAAGTTCCGGTAGTCTTCGAGTTAGTGACGTTTCCAAGTTGCAACGCCCCTGGAGAAAAAAGTGACTTAGGGCTATTTTTCACTCTTACGACTGTTGGCAGCCTTCCCCTGGTCACGTGAACAAAATTCAGAGGCTTGGCGACTGGCATGGCCTTACGCCAGTTGCGGTGTCATTGGGAAAATCAGATTCACTTACGTTACTAGCTTAAGAACTGCAGCGGTTCATTTAACTGCACCAAAAGAAAGCCGTACAGTGAGACAAAACCCACCTAACCAATTTAGGTGATCACTTAGCAACATGAAATTTTGGCCTCCGTGATGATTGTAAGCCGAGGAATTACCTGTAAACGTTCCACGGAGTTTGGCTGAAGGCTGTTTTTGAATTGAAGCGTTGTCCTTAAGGTGCTGAAAGTTTGAAGAGCCACACTTGATATTTTCCGAATGAGATAAAAATGTTTATTTACTGTCTGTCCTTAAGGTGTGTCCCTCTGCCCCTTTTGTATGGCAACTTGGAAACCAACATAGGAATGTTTTGCAAGTTGACACTTGCGTCACAACAAAACTTCCATTTAACAGACTGTTTGGGAGAGCAGGCAGTCCGTTAAATCCAAATGATTGCAGTGGATGTTCTTTCGTGCAGTTATGTAATGGGAATGTTGACCTCGGATGCCCCAGCTCTCTTGTTTAGTGAAGTGCAGATGGAATGAAGGAAATGTTCTTTCAGGCATGGTCCCTCCCACAGTCCGTTGCTTCTGAATCAGTCTGGACAACCGGCGTAATTTAATGTCGGTGGCATCCAATTACATAATGAGATAATGGATGTTTTCACATAATTGGCCTCCATTTATGTCACTCGTGTGGTTAGGTGACGTTAGTTATGTGTTCAACCAAATGATGCAAGCTGGGGCATCCGAGGTCAACATTCCCATTACATAACTGCACAAAAGAACATCCACTGCAATCATTTGGATTTAACGGACTGCCTGCTCTCCCAAACAGCCTGTTAAATGGAAGTTTTGTTGTGACACAAGTGTCAACTTGTAGAACATTCCTATGTCGGTTTCCAAGTTGCCATACCTATGGTCTCTGGGTGTTATGTGAATTTCGTTGAACGTATACTGTGTATATACATACAATGACAGTAAACAATTCAATTCAATATGAAAAAAGGGGAGGAACCCCTAAAGAGCCTTGGTGGCGCAGTGGTTAGGCCAAGTGTGATTGGACACACAAGGAATTTGTCTAGGTGCAAATGTTCTCAGTGCACATAAAAGAAAAAATACCTTCGTCAAGAGTCAAGAATCATCAGGTACAACACTTAATAATAGTCATAGAGTACAATAAGCAATCAAATCATACTAGGAAACCGTCAATAAAAATCATTAGGATGCAAGCGACAAAGTTATAGTCATACAGTCAAAAGTGGGAAGGGATGGGTGAAAGGAAGGATGGGAGGATTAGTAGTAATAGTTATGCAGACTTTGTAAATAGTTGGACAGTGTTGAGGGAATTGTTTGTTTAGCAGAGGGATGGCGTTCAGGGAAAAAACTGTCCTTGTGTCTAGTTGTTCTGGTGTGCAAGGCTCTATAGTGTCATTTTGAGGGAAGGAGTGGAAATGAATTGTGTTTTCACCTTTGGACTGTCTGATTTATCAGCGAAAGCCACAACTCGGTGGATTATATTTTTATCTTGTTTTCTTTTTTCCATGCTAGAGCGTAGGAGATGGGCCCTGGGTTTCCGGCAAGATCTTCTCCAAAACCGTTTTGGAGACTGGATTGAATTCTTTTCTTTGTTTCTTCTACAGACCTCCAAGGAACTTGGATTCCAGGACTTTTATCACCATTGGAGAAAAGGTAGGCCTTGTTCTCATCCTGTCCATTCTCCAAGCTTTCGCCCTTTTCTCTTCTGCAGAATTCCTTGATTGACTGTTTATCTTGTGCGTTTCATGAAATTTAAAAGGTATCAATACGGAGAAGTTCAGAGCTTGCAAAGACATGAGCTGTGATAGTGCCACCTCCATACGAGTGTTTCTTTGTGTAGACATAGGTGGTATGCAGGTGCCCAGTTGGGGCAAAATCCCAGGTATGGTGGATTTCACCATCTTCTTGTTGAAGTTGTCCTTGTGGTTCCATAACATGAACAAGGTTGGCTGGATACACACACAACCCCGAGCAACTGTGTGATTTGTTTAGTTTTTACTAAGTTCTTCTCGCATTTGTAGACCACGCTGTTGTTCAAACGTGGCCACTTTTAGGACGTACGGACTTCAACTCCCAACATGCTGGTTGGGCTATTCTGGGAGTTGAAGTCCAGTCTTGAAATTTTGCCAAGTTTGAAAAACAGTGTTGTAGACCACGAGTACTACCTGTGTAGGTTGTATCAGCCTTGCACCAGCCATAGTTAAGCATAAGATAGGCGAGAATCCATCTCATTCCAGGAAGCTTGCTTGATAACATCTCCAGAACATCTGGAAGAAGGTTCTTCCATGGTTCTTCCAGTATCTTAAGCGCTTTAGGGCAACCCAACCCAGGTCTCCTCTTTCATACCTCTGTTTTCTGTGGAGCCTCTGACCTCAGTGCTCTCCATAGTTCCTCCTCCTCCTCCTCCTTCATATTCCTCTTTTGTGGGCCTGACCTGACCTAATCTAACGGATGGGTCATTTGAGATCACCTCCTCTCTTCCTCCCAACAGCCTTTTCTATTCCTGCCTTTAAAAGCTTTTCATTGGCTGTGGGGTGACCCAGCTTGGACTCTTTGAGAGTTTGTGTGACCCTCACAACTTACACCAGCTAGAAATAGCTGCTGGTTTCTGGTTACAAGCTGCCTCATCAACAGTCAATCAAAGAAGAACGACTTCAGTTTTAGATACCAGAGATCGCTTCCTTCTTCCAAGTTGGAAAGCCAAGCCATCAAAGATATCTGTGTTAAATGTCTGGAGTTTTGTGTGTGTGTGTGTAAAGACCAGATCCTTCCCTGGATCTCCTGTTTTGCTTACCTTCTTGACTAGTTCTAAATTCATTTTTGGTCGCCATGATGTAAAAAAGATGTTGAGACTCTAGAAAAAGTACAGAGAAGAGCAACCAGGATGATTAGGGGACTGGAGGCTAAAATATACGAAGAACAGTTGTAGGAACTGGGCCTGGCTAGTCTAGGGAAGAGAAGGACCAGGGGAGACAGGATAGCAGTCTTCCAAGATCTCAGGGGCTGCCACAAAGAAGAGGGGGTCAATTTATTTTCCAAAGCCCCTGAAGGCAGGACAAGAAGCAATGGATGGAAACTAATCAAGGAGAAAAGCAACCTAGAACTAAAGAGAAATTTTCTGACAGGGAGAACAATTAACCAGTGGAACAACTTGCCTCCAGAAGTTGTACATGCTCCAACGCTGGAGGTTTTTAAAAAGATGCTGGAAAACCATCTGTGTGAAGTAGTGTAGGGGTTTCCTGCCCAGGGGTCAGCTGATCAACTTTGACAAGCCAAGTCCATGGGGAAGCCAGATTTACTGAACAACCAGGTTACTAAATCAACAACTGCACTGATTCACGTAACAAACGTGGCAAATAAAATGGAGCAAAACTCGCTGAACCAATCTTGTCCCTTAGCGACGTAAATTTTGGGCTCCATTGTGTTGAGGACCTACCTGTATTCCCAGGAAAAAAAAGAGGCTGCTAAAGAATTGGGTGTTGCTTTACTTTAGAGGTTCAAGTTTCAGTGGAGTGGACTTCAACTCCCACAATTCCCCCTGGAAGTCGGAACGTGGTTATTTTTCCTTTTGAAGGATGTTTTCTGAGGTTTCCAGACCGTCGATGGCAATAAATTGATTTGAATGGGTGGCATGTTGTGCCTTGAAGTGTGTTTGGGATGGTTCGTTGGGCGTGTAGGACGTGAGGCCCGTTTCTATGTTCTTAACCTGTTAGTCATTTCTTTACTCTCTCTTTTTTTTTTTTGCATCCATCTCATCCGATCTGCAGAACTTTGAAGTTGAGGCCGATGACTTGGTGAGCATCTCTGAACTGGGCAGAGGCGCTTACGGGGTGGTGGAGAAAGTGCATCACGCGAAGAGCGACACGATCATGGCTGTGAAGGTGAGAACTTTAGCAAAAAGGGCTCGAAATACTTTGGACCTGGTGGGTTGCATGGTCAACCACCAAGGGAGGTCAGGGCTGGCGTGGAAACTGGGAGATGGGGAGTTCTAGTGCTCCTTTAGTCAGAAAAGCCGGCTGGGTGACTTTGGGCCAATCACCAGGAGACAGGGAGTTCTAGTCCTGCCTTAGTCAGGAAAGCTGGCTGGGTGACTTTGGGCCAATCACCAGGAGACAGGGAGTTCTAGTACTTCCTTAGTTAGAAAAGCCATCGGGGTGTTTTTAGGCCAATTACTAGGAGACAGGGAGTTTTAGTCCTGCCTTAGTCAGGAAAGCCGGCTGGGTGACTTTGGGCCAATCACCAGGAGACAGGGAGTTCTAGTCCTGCCTTAGTCAGAAAAGCCGTCTGGGTGTCTTTGGGCCAATTACCAGGAAACAGGGAGTTCTAGTACTTCCTTAGTTAGAAAAGCCATCGGGGTGTCTTTAGGCCAATTACCAGAGGACAGGGAGTTCTAGTCCTGCCTTAGTCAGAAAAGCCGTCTGGGTATCTTTGGGCCAATTACCAGGAGACGGAGTTCTAGTTCTGGCTTAGTCAGGAAAGGTGGCTGGGTGACTTTGGGCCAATCACCAGGGGACAGGGAGTTCTAGTTCTGGCTTAGTCAGGAAAGGTGGCTGGGTGACTTTGGGCCAATCACCAGGGGACAGGGAGTTCTAGTATTGCCTTAGTCAGAAAAGCCGCCCACCAGGAGACAGGGAGTTCTAATCCCGCCTTAGGCATAAAAAACCCACTGGTTGACCTTGCCGGTCCCTCCCTCTCAGCCCAACCAACCGTACCAAGTCGTAGTTGTGGGGAAAACAACCCAGGAAGGAATATTGGAAGGAATAATTCGCCATTGATTTCTAATAAATCAACATCAGCGTTGCTCCATCTTGGAAGAGTGGACAGCCAACTCCCAGCAGAGCCATCAGTGGGGAATTCTGGGCATTGTGGTCCCATTGTCTTGAGGTTAGGAAAGTGGTCTTCCTTCCCATGCTCCACCCCCGATTGGTATCCTTTTGCTCCCAACGCAGAGGATCCGAGCCACTGTGAATACTCAGGAGCAGAAGAGGTTGGTGATGGATCTGGATGTCTCCATGAGGACAGTGGATTGCTTCTACACCGTCACTTTCTACGGAGCCCTTTTCAGAGAGGTATCCAAAATAAATCCAGAAACCCTCCTCACTCCCCGGCGAAAGCCGCTCCAGGTTCAAATACAGGTAGCCCTTGGGCTTATGACCACAGTGGATCTCAACACTTCTGCTGCTAAGGGAGACATTGGCTCAATGAGTTTTGCTCCATTTTACAGCCGGCAGTTGAGTGAATCACTGCAGTAGTATCAGAGTCATGGGGGTGCAGTGGTTAAAATGCAGTACTTCAGGCTCCTTCTGCTGACTGCCGGCTGCCTGCAATTTGGCAGTTCGAATCTCTCCAGGCTCCAGGTTGACTTAGCCTTCCATCCTTCCGAAGTGGGTAAAGTGAGGACCCAGATTGGGTGGGGGGTGGGGGAGGGAGGAAGAGGCTGACTCTGTAAACTGCTTAGAGAGGGCTGTAAAAACACTGTGAAGCAGGATATAAGTCTGGTAATGCTTGGGAAGGAAGGAAGGGAAAGGAAAGGAAGGAAGGAAGGAAGGAAGGAAGGAGTGGTTAGAATGCAGTGTTTCAGACTAACTCTGCCCACTGCCAGGAGTTTGATTAAGGTTGACTCAGCCTTCCATCCTTCCAAGGAGGGTAAAATGAGGACCCAGATTGTTGGGGGCAACAGGCTGACTCTGTAAACCGCGTAGAGAGGGCTGTAAAGCACTATAAAGCGGTATATAAGCCCTATTGCTGTTGCTACTGTATTTCCCTGAAAATAAGACCTAACTGGAAAAAAACTAAGCCTGGTTTTTCAGGATGCTCATAATATAAGCCCTACCCCAGAAATAAGCCCCAGTTAAGATCGTCAACCAGATGGATGCATTTAGTACATCCATTGCAACAACAACAGCAACAAAATAACATCACCTGAAAATAAGCCCTAATATGCCTTTTGGAACAAAACATTAATATAAGACCTGGTCTTATTTTCGGAGAACTATGGTGGTAGCACAATTGTTAAGTGAATCTGGCTTCCCTATTGACTTTGCTTGTCCGGTGGTCACAAAAAGTGATCACATGACCCCTGGACACTGCAACCGTCATAAGTACATGCCAGTTGCCAAGCGTTTGAATTTTGATCATGTGGCTACAAGGAGGCTGCAATGGTTGTAAGTGTGAAAAACAGCCAGAAGTCACTTTTTCCAGTGCTGTGGTAGTTTTGAACAGTCAATAAATGCATGGTTGTAAGTTAAGGACTCGCTGTGCAGGGTTTCCTTCCTCGATAAGGATGGGATGTGTTGTCTGAACCGAGCAAGGAAGGCGTTTTATGTAATGTTTCTGAAGTGACGTAACCTCTTCTCTGGTTCTCAGGGCGATGTGTGGATCTGCATGGAATTGATGGACACGTCTCTGGATAAATTCTATAAGAAGGTTCTGGAGAAGAAGAAGAACATTCCTGAAGATATCCTAGGAAAAATAGCCGTGTCTGTGAGTGTTTGCTTTACCTGCGTGACATTATTTCCGTGTAAAATTAAAAACAAGGACAAAATAGGCTGAAAAAACAGCTTCTATCCCAGGGCAGGAGCTCTTTTGAATTCTGCTGTATAGTGCAGTGTTGGTGTGGTGTCGGGGACTTTCGGCTCAATGTGTGGAGCGTGAAGGATGTGTGTTTGTGTTTATTTTCGTAGTCATAATTGTACACTGAAGGTGGCATTTAATTTCATTGCACGAGGTGCAATGACAGACTAAACTAAACAAAAACGAACAAAGTAAGGCAGCCATTTGTAATCATTTTTTTATGAGTCAGGGATCCAGTTTGGATCTGTTGCAAGGCCTGTATAAAAGGACAGAGTTTGAAGGTTTTGTAGGGGTGTTTGAGACCATTGAGAAAAAATGGAATTAAATGGTTTAAGCAGCTACCAGAAAGTATGTACCTGTGAGAGTATCCCACAACTTACGGGCACCTGTTGTTTCTTTCCTTTTTCCTTTCTTCAGATTGTGCGAGCACTGGAACATCTCCACAGTAAATTGTCGGTGATTCACAGAGGTGGGTTTTAATTGCAGATCCCATCAGGATGATAGAGAAAGCAGCTGAGGGTTAATAACACAGGCGGAGCCGAGATCCGAAAGTTAGATCCTTCGGTTAAATGACCGGCTGTCCTCATTTAGCAACCACAAGTGGGACAGGCAATTCCGTCACTAAGTGAAACAGTTTCCGAAGTGGGAAATGGCACGATGGCGGCTGTGTTTTCCTTCCAGAGTAGTACAGGTAGTCCTTGCCTTACAACAGTTTGTTTAGTTGCTGCTCAAAGTTACCGAGGCCCTGAAAAATATAAACTCTACAACCATTTTTCACCAGCCATCCCCGTAGTCACACACTAAAAACTCGACAACCAGCATGTATTTGTGACAGTACTAATAAAGGAGAATATCTGTAGCTTCAAGGAATTTTGGGCCCCGTTGTGGTCATAAATACATCGAGGACCGCCTGTGGTTTTTTTTTTTTAAAGGGGTATTTGTGACCCCAGGCCGTTTTTCTTCCCTGCTTTACAGATGTGAAGCCGTCCAATGTCTTGATCAACAAACAGGGACACGTGAAAATGTGTGATTTTGGGATCAGCGGTTACCTGGTGGATTCGGTGGCTAAAACGTTGGATGCTGGCTGCAAACCTTACATGGCTGTAAGTGTGGGGGGGGCTGTCGTGCCCCTGTTGGAGTCTGATTCCGAGGGGGAGGTTGAACAGCCGACAGGGAGTGTGGCTCCGGTGGCTGTGGAAGAAACTGAGGAAGGGCACAGTCTGGCTGGTCATTCAGAGGAAGACCCAGGCCCACCCCCTCTGCATCCTAGGGCACGCAGGGAGGAACAGATAAGGGAGCAACGTGAGTTGCATGGTTTACGGGGGAGGAAAGGGCCCTGATCCCCTTCATTGGCTGCAGCTGGGAAAACAGGATATAAAGGGTGTTTGGGCACAGCCTGGAAGCAAAGCGTGAACTATCTTTGTTTGTCACGTCTTATCTGGGTTCTGGTGTCCTCCCAACTGTGTGTGTTTCATTATCTTTTGACGTCTTCAATCCCTTATCCTGTCCTGTCTCGTTAATTGCTGCAGAGTGGTTTGTGTTGGTTTTTATTTATAATCTATGTGTACTTTGGGTTCGGACTGAATTTCTTCCCTTTAAAGACTGTTTTGGGGAGTTTTCTTCAGCCGATGATAACTGGACATTGGGGGCCAAGTTGGAGGAATGAAAGGGACTTTACCTACTATTGTGACTTTGTTGCTTTTGTGCCACGACCCTTTGGGTCATCACAGGGGTGATTAGGGGTAGGGGGGGGAAGAGGAGCCCCTCGTGGGGGTACACGCGTGTGAATTTGGGAGAGAACATCCAATCCTTTTATCCTGTTCTCTCCTTTCCTCTGGTTTTAATTTGCTATTTTTTTTTCCTCTCTCTCTCTCTCCCCTGTGCAGCCAGAAAGGATTAATCCAGAGCTAAACCAGAAAGGGTATAATGTGAAATCAGACGTCTGGAGCCTTGGAATCACTTTGGTAAGAAATCCAGGCGGGATTGTGGTGGGATTCAGCCGGTGAGCACCACTTCGGCCAAACCGGTGTTTAAATTTTTATTTGAACTCCACCCCTGAATCAAGGCGACATTGTGGGAATGGCGAGGCCAAAAGCATGAGGACTAGTCACCTGCGGTGCTTTGGAGTTAGTACAGATTAGAGATCCGGCCGTGGCAGCCCAGTTGGGGTTTCCTCGGATCGGGTCTCCCTGGTGGGCTCCCTTCCATCCTCTCCCCTGCAGGCACAGGGAGATAAATCCAATCTTTGTGGGGTCCTCGGAGCTCTGTGGATTCCTTGAAGACTTTTCACGACCCAAGTAGCGAACGTCAGTGATAGAAGGGAGTCGGGTTTATCCTCTGAGAAAACTTCTGCCGCTGATTGAGGTTTATGACATGGGTCATGGAACATCAGTTCCGTGCAAGGAAGCCACCAAGTTCAGGGAACACGAAGGACCTCACAGTCCTCCTCCTAGCACTGATGGTGTTATGTGGTTGGGTCATGAAATGTCTGCAAGGAAGCCACCAAGTTCAGAGAGTACTAGGGACCCCACAGTCGTTGCCCTCCTCCTCCTCCTCCTCCTCCTCCTCCTCCTCCTCCTTGTAAACCCCACTCCTAACACTGATAATATTATATAGTTAGGTGTTGAAACATTTGCAAGGGAGCCACCAAGCTCAGAGAGTACTAGGGACCCCACAGTTCTCCTCCCCACCCTCCTCCTCCTCTTCCTCGTAAACCCCACTCCTCCTAGCACTGATGGTGTTATGTAGTTGGGTCATGACATGTCTGCAAGGAAGCCATCAAGTTCAGAAATGCACCAAGGACCCCACGGTTCTCCTCCTCTTCCTCCTCCACCCCACTCCTCTTAATACTGATGATGTTATCTAGTTGGTTGATGAAACCGTCTGCAAGGAAGCCACCAAGCTCAGAGAGAACCGGAGACCCCAGAGTTTAGCCGTGAGCCCCAAACATTCCCTTCCGTTGGAATATCCAATCTTTGTCTCCTTCCAGATCGAGATGGCCATTCTCCGTTTCCCCTACGACTCCTGGGGGACCCCTTTCCAGCAACTTAAGCAGGTGGTGGAAGAGCCATCGCCCCAGCTCCCAGCCGATCGTTTCTCCAAAGACTTCGTTGACTTCACTGCCCAGTGGTAAGTGCCTCTGTGTGACCTCACCGTCTCCTGGTGCTTGGCTCAAAGTCACCCAGCTGGCTTTCGTGCAGGGGGGGGGTGTTTCTGTTGTTGCAATGACAAATTTTTAAGCCTGGATTAGTGATGTCCTGGATGTCTTTTTTTTTTTTCCCAGTCTGAGGAAGAATCCTGTTGAACGAATGAGCTACTTGGAGATGATGGTGAGTTGATCTTCTTTCTTATGGCCTAGTTTTAAAATGTTGTATTCAGATTCCAGCAGGTGAGCGTAGGGCAATCTTAGTGCCTCCTCCTCCTCCTCCTCCTCCTCCTCCTCC